TTGCATTATTTTACTTAATCTGCACAGTTACCCAAGGATGTATATCAAGCATTTAAGATCATTCTTTTCACTAGCAAACCTCCCACCTCCTTCATCAAATGTCAACCTGAGTAAAGAGCAGAATGACACCTTCAGGATTAGACATCAGGTGAACCACCACAAAATGCTAGTGGCAGACTGAATTCTAACGAGGAGAGCTCACCTTAAGGGACTTCTAGTAACCGTCCATCTTATTTAATTATCTTCAAAGGGAACAAAACCATTTTCTATGATAAATAACCCTTAAAACATTGTCTGAGAAACTATTAAAATGTTCTTCTCAACTCTATATGCTGGGACTATGAAATCACTTAAAGGGAATATTAAATACTTTTTTCATCACATTAAAGAATTCTTCTCTGCAGTATTTTTTAAAGTAATTAAATTGGCTCATTTTAGAGCTCTAAATTCTGGCCCGCTTTGATTATCTATACAAATATACAGATATAAAAATGACATAGATATTAATGTTCTTTGATTGGAAATTGTTGCTACTTTCCAGAAGTACAGAAGATTGACAGCAATCCAATGCAACTTTAGTTTGTGCTCAGTCCACAACTGCACATAGGACCAAATGAACCTCATAGGAGTTATTGAGTTAAAAAGCAGAAAGAGGCCACAGAGGTAGCTCAGTGGGTAAAATGCTTGATACAAAAGTTAAACGCTGAAGTTCAGATCCCCAGGACCAAGTAAAAGTCTAACAAGGCTATACTCCTGGAATGGGTTTGGGGATGGGAAAATGCAGGCTTGCTGGCTGGCCAGGCTAGCAGAAGCTTCAAGTTCAGCAAGAGACCCTGTCTCAAATACATAAAGTAGAGATGAGATTGAGACACTCAACCAGTGCCAACTTTTGCCCTTTACACACGAATACCTGCACACACGTGAATATCACACATACAAAGTAACGTCATCACAATGGCACACCTTTCTTCCTCACAATTAATGTTCTTATAAAGTATCTTAGTCTCCCATAGTCTCCCACTGCTGTGAAGAGACACCATGACCATGACCACGGCAACTCTTACAAAAGAAAACATTTAACTGGGGTGGCTTACAGTTCAGAGGTTCAGTCTAGTCCATCATCATCATGGTGGAACTTAGCAATGTGCAGGCAGACATGGTCCTGGAAAGGAAGCTGAGAGTTCTGCACCTTGCACAGGCAGCAGGAAGTGGTCTGTCTCACTGGGTGTGGCTTTAGCATATATACCTCAAAGCCCACCTCCATAGTGACGCACGCACGTCCTCCAAGAAGGCCACACCTCTTAACAGTACCACTCTCTATGAGCTTATGGGGGCAATTACATTTAAACTATCACATCAAGAGATAAATTGATATGGAAAACAAGTGAGATCTCTTGGACAAACTCATACACAGTAAAGACTGTTATGATGCAGATGTGGCATGAATAATAAAAGCCAAAAAGACAGATGTTGGGGTTCAACCTGAAGGTCAGAAAAGCAAAACAGCCAGCCACTGGCTCTTACCTCTTCTTCAGTCTAAAATGGTGATCCTGCCTCCAGGAATCTCAGAATGAGACTGTGTCTGTGAGCTGTCTCCTCCTGTATTATAATCCTCTCTAGTTCTGGGATGAATTGTGTGCATTATTGGGATCAAAGGCAAACTAGTGTGGCTACTGGGACTAAAAGTCTGTGTTACCACTGCCTGGTCTGTAAGGGTGACCAGTGGGACTGTTTTACCCTCTGATCTTCGGGCAAGCTTTATTTATTAACATACAAATGAAATATCACTACAGCAGGTAAGTGTGCGTTTCCAACATTGCTGTTATCTAAGCTTTGGAGTTGCTTTTTCCTGTGCCTGAACTATTTTTCTGGGGCCTTTGTCTAGCTAGCTGCTTCTAGCACCAGCTACCACTGCCATACTTTTCCCAAGATCACACAGAGGGAGTTTTTTCCTTGCAGAACTTTTCAGGTTTGTGTCCTTGATAAATGTTTGCCTTCTGTCTTTATATTACAGGTTTCAAGAGAAAGAACAAAGGCCAGGCTCCTTTCCTTCTCAAGTCTCTGCATCTAACAATGTGACAAGCTCACAGTAGAGCAGTGGTTCCCAACCTTCTTATTGCTGCAACCCTTTAATACAGTTCTTCATGTTGTGGTGATTGCCAGCCATAAAATTATTTTCATTGCTATTTCATAACTATAATTTTGCTACTGTTATGAATCATATTGTAAATAGCTGATATGCAGGATGGTCTTAGGGCAACCCCTGTGAAAGAGCTGTTCCACTCCAAAGGAGTTGCGACCCCCAAGTTGAGAATGACTGAAATAAATGACCTTGCCTTTTACTGGTAGCAGCTTACATAAACGAACTGGGAGCCTAACCCCTCTGGGAAACATAGGCGAATGCTCTGTTTATTTCAGATTTTCCCCTTAAGGAGGTTGTTGTAGATTCTCCCATTGGGTTCTGAACAAGATAGCAAAAAGGGAGCAAACTAGGGATGTCAAGACCTACCTGGTTTTTAAGAGTAACTCTCTCTAACTTCATTATTTTGGTTTAAGAATAGTTTAAAGAGTTATAACGTGTTCCAAACCATTGGATATATAGCTGTCTCTGGCACCCAATGAGAAAGAAGGACAGTGCTTTTGCAGCATCACAATACCCTACCTTCAGATGATGTACCAGCCTCAGCAACCTAAGTATGAAGCTGATGCCCATTTACTCACTTTGCTTACTATGAAGACCTTCCTCTTGCAAACATTGGTCTCAGTCCATGGGAAGCATAGTGAATCACATTAAGAACAAGTCTATCTGGCTTTGCATTTCAGAGATGGGAAAGTCATGTAACATTGCTTGTCTCTAGAACCTTCCTTAAACTACTTGATGAAACAAAGGAAGATGCCAAAAATAGCAATGAAGACCTTAAGGTCTTTACAGTTAAGCAATTCTTTTTGTTTCTGGAGAATGTTTTCTAGAGACAGATGCTATTCCTATGTTGATAGTGAAAAGCTTGATATTGAAACAAGGTATGTAGACCCATCGAATATTTTGTATTTAAGTGTTTGCATCCAACAATTAATACCAGAACATGCCCCTCAGCCATAGCAAACATTTTGGAGCAAGAACAATAAACTGCCTTTTGAACTTATCTTAGAAGTAAGTATGTGCCTGTGAATCAAAGTGATAGACCATATCAAATCCACAGAGGAATGAATACATCTTCTGATTGTTCTCTTTCTCAACAGCTGGAGATTGGATATAGATGGACCATCAAGAGGCATGAGGGGATGGGTACTAGTCTTGTGATGGGACACACAGGAAAAGCCAGGCACTCAGAACCAGTGCTCTAGCCTTGTGTGTCGAGGGCAGCGAAAGAAGGAAATGCATGTCCATTGTGCATGACCCACTGCTACCTTCTGTTTGAAAGATCAAACTCACAGTCTAACACAATGAACTTCCTGGATGATCCAGAGGTAGCAGTGTGATCCAGCAAAGCATAGGTTCCGAGCTGGAAAGGACTATTGAGATTCTGTTCTACCCCTTCACTCTACGAAGTGATGACTGGAGCTGGAAGAGTAGACACATCTCTTGATCGCCACAGCTAGCTGATAGTAGACCAGGTTGCAGACATCCTGAATTCTAGTTCATTCTTACCCTTTCTGGTGCAATTAGCAAAATTCCATAGAAGTGATACTAGACTCTCCCTCTTGGAAGCCTGAACAACTTATTACTTGGGACCAAACACCTCCTTTGTCTAAGAACGCAACAAACAGGTACATTCCAATAAGGCTACTCAACCTTCCGTCATGGGAAGGAAATAAGACACAGCAAGACCCAGGCCCCATCTCAGTGGCTGCTGCTGGCAACGGATGGAGAAGGACTGACGCTTGTACTTCTTGACTAGTTAACCCTTTCCTTTAAAGTTCCCCTCTTCCTCAATGAAACTGGTTGTTCTCACTGTGAAAACTCACCACAAAATGTCTGGGAAACAGACGCTTGAAGTCAGAAAGTCAAAAGGGATTTACATTTTCAAACTTGGTTCTATAATGTTATGGGGAACAATCATCATGCACATGAAATTTTATAGAAAACTAGTGCAGTTGGTTTTTATTTTTCTCTTTGCTCTTTGGGGAACCACCATCCCACTCCAAAATAAATACATGGAGACTTATTCTTTCTTATAAATGCCCAGACTTAGCTTGTCTTATTTCTAGCCAGCTTTTCTTAATTTAAATTATCCTCTAGGATTTAATTAATTTAAATTTTTTTTAATAAATTTAATAGATTTAATAAATTTAAATTAATTAATTTAAATTTTTCCTCTAGGGTTTTACCCTTTTCTATTTCTATATATCTTTTCTTTCCTTCTTATTCCATTTCTGACTGTTTGACTGGGTGGTAGCCCCTGGCATCCTCTTCTCCTTTTCTCATTCTCCCTTTTTCTTTCTTTCTTTCTCCTTCTAATTATTCTCTTTGCCTGGCAACCCCACAAATCCCTCTCCTTCCTAGCTATTGGCTGTTCAGATCTTTATTAGACCAATCTAGTATTTTAGGCACGCAAAACAGCACAGCTTCACAGAGTTAAACAAATGCAACATAAAAGAATGCAACACATCTTTGGACCATCAAACAAATTTTCCACAGCATAAGCAAATGTAACACATCTTCAACTAATATTCCACAACAAACTTGCAACAGCGATAAAAACTCCAATTGCCAAAGGAACAGTAAAGGAAACATGCAAATCATCTAAATATCTACCATGGGTCACAGCTCTCTTTTTAGCAGGGAAGACACTATATAGCAGTGACTAAGGCAGTTGCCAAAGGCTTCATAGAAAGTAAACAATGTATTCTAGATATTAGCAAGATCCTTGAGCATCAACCTTCTATCCATTCTCCCTCTGTCCTTAGATACCCTGCTTATACTTAATTGTGAAACTATATGCTTATATTTGAATTTCATAAAATTCCATTTCTACATGCCAGTATGACATACTTCTTACCGTCCTCATTTTCATCAAACACTGGTGCTTTGCTTGAAGTGTTGGCTCCCATGATCAAGTCTGCACTGACCTGGATACTCTAGTTATAGAATGCTGGAAGAAATACTCATTCTTGTACAGTGCAGGTCCTGGAAAGTTAGCTTGTTTCTACAAAAAGAAAGAAAGAAAGAAAGAAAGAAAGAAAGAAAGAAAGGAAGGAAGGAAAAGAAATAGTATCCTTTATATTATAGTTTGTGATATATTGTAACAAAAACATTAACTTGTATTACTGTAGCAGAAATTTTTTTTGTCCTTAAAAATTACAATAGAAATGACAATGCATGGGACAACAGGAGAGGTCACACTGCACAGTGCCATCAAAAGTCAATCTGTGCTTACAACATAGGGAAAAAGCAAAATATTTCCCAGATATTAAGAAAAAAATTAATGTAAGGCCAGTTAAGTGACTATAAAATAAAATTAATCTTAGTGACCTTCTGTATTTTAAAGAAAATAGGCTAACTTCACATTTTCAGTTTTGCTTTGTGACCAAGAACAACCCTAAAATCTTCCCCTTAAACATGAAGTTGTCTTATGTTTCCCCTTGCCCTGGAAGGCACCACAATGGATTGGATGTTACTAGCTAGTAGATGGTATCCTCCAAACATTTTTCCTTCTGAACTTGGAGATGATAATGGTCTTTACCCAAAAGGAGAGTTAAATGTGATCCACTTACATTTAACTCCTTGTAAATATATGGCATATATATATATATATATGTTGTGTATTCATATTATATGACTCCTATGTTGTATCATATGAATAAACACATTATGTGACATTTATAAATTTTGCTTGCTTGGGGGCATATTCTCTTACGTAGCTTAGGCTGGCCTTCAGCTTCCATTCAGCCCTCAATAGTTAAGAGAGCACAGATGTTCATCACTAGCCCTGGCTCTTCTACATATTTTTATGTACTAAGTACATAAATATAGATACATATTTAACACAGTAAACAAAGTACTTTTATAATAGCATATTCAGCAATTATTGATCATTCTAAAATACAGATTAAATTATATAGCTAAGATAAAATTTCCTTTAAACTGTACATTGATTCCTTTAAAAATACAAATGTAAAGACTCTTACTATCCTGGAACCTATTAAACAGAGGCATTGTCTGGGTTCCAGTTCTAAGAATTGCATGATCATGGCCTTGAAACAGTTACTTAGCCTCTGGCCACAAAAATGGGGGCATAACAGTGCCTCCTCCAGGAGTCACAAGCTCAAGTGCCTTTAAGTGCCAGGAAGCTCACACAAAAGACCAAACCAGACCAGGTACAGGACATTCAGGCATTATGAGGACAATGGTGGTACTGGCTTAATCTTAAAAATGTACTTGAGGTCAGACGAAGACATTTTTGTGTATGGAAACACTAGCCACGGACCTTTAGAACTTCTGAAACAGGGTGAAGTGCCAGAATTTATAAAAGAAGATTTTAAAATTCAGCTCAGCTCTACAGCTCAAAAAAAAAAAATCATGCTCGGGACAAATATGATTTATAGATATAGATAGAAAAGCAATAGAAGTGCAGTAATTAACAAAGTACCTGGCACATAAAATACAAAAAGAAGAAATGGCTGTCTCTATTATTTTGACAGGCACATTATTTCCTTAGCATTTATCATTTTTTTCAGGTGTTGACACTTGTTGACCTTTTGTTTTGTTTTGTTACTTTTCCCCCTTGGAATATTTTTATGCACGAAGTAAATGCAGGTTAGATGCAGAATTAGAGAGAGTATCCAAGATAGACTGGTTTATGAATAAGTTATTTTTTAAGAGAACTTGGGGAGTTCCCAAGTATATAAGAAAAGCTCATTTTCTCATTAGGAATATGTAAGTCAGGACTTCGTTTGGAAGGAAGACCCATTAAGGAATTGCTCCTTTTCCAACTAAATGCCAACTGCTGGCAAAATGCCTTATGGTCTTTAAAAAGAATCATTAACTGTAGAGCAAAGAAAGAGTCAGCAATTAGGAAGTGACCAATTAAATGAGCTAGGACTGGGGAGAGGCTTGGGGCAGGTGGCTGGTGGCTGCAGCAGGCTCAGTGGGATAACTGAGATCCAGGAAGATAGAAAGAACTGCTGTCAGTCCAGAAACAAGGCTTTTAAACATGAGAATAGTGAACGAAGAAAAAGTAGGATGCCCATTGCCTTTGATAGAAAGTTAAGAAGCAGAATGGAGCACTTTTTGTCCTTTAATATTGCATAGAGTTCGGGGCGGGGGGGGGGGGGTGAATAGCAATGACTCTACTACCAACAACATTAGAAAAAGAGAATGGATCCTATGCATTTTAAGGAACAGTGATTGTTAACCCTGCAGAGTCAGACTTCATTCATTTTGTATCTGGTAAAAGTCTGAATGCACGCTTTCACGGCACATAACTGCCCTACCATGCGTGTATTCTTCACACCTATGTTTCTCTCAAGTAACCCTTCTCTCTGCTGCGTAAGATGCACCAAGCATTGACCTTGCACTTTGACAAATCACAGGGAGGCAGAGGTGGAAACATTACCATGTTTTCCCACATCTCAGACTTCCACTCCGGGGTGCAATTTAATCTGCCGTACAGACATCCGTTTCACTGGGAGAAAGGGCCATGTGAAGGGAGGCATGGCAGTGGATGCTTACAAGGGGCCAGCTAAGCAGTCCTCGATGATGGTCTAGCATCTTCCCCCATAGTAGCTACCACACAGAATTGCCTGAAAATTGTCTTTAACTTTTTCTCCCCCAAGCGGATAACCAAATTAGATAAGTTTCTCTCATAACTAGAAAGAAACGGGCCTTTCTCTGGCAGGAAAATGGTGACTCATTGTTTCCACTCTGTTGAATAGAGAACAGGAGAAATGTTAAGACTCTTTCCCATAAAACCTCTACCCTCCCTGACCTCCTGTTCTGAGTCCCCAGAGTCAGCTAAGCGTGGAGAGCCGCAGCCATGTGAGGAAAGGGAACCCTAAGCAGACAGGCAAGAAGGCGGATTTGTCTTGCAGGAATGGATGAGACTTCACACTCTACAGAGCCCATAATTACCACATTATTAAATGTAGCCTCATGTTCAATACCAGCCTTTCAAGTGCGGCTTGCAGACCTAAAGGAGTCAGGAGGCTTCTCTGAGCAGTTCTGTCTCCCTAGAGACTCTTAGAACTGGAGACCACCAGGTGTGATGCAAGAATGTTGCAACATCCGACGGCACCGTGTAGATTTCATTATCACAATGTGTGCACAGTCATAATTATTTTTATTTGCATTTGAAAAACATGAAAATATTTAGAAACACAAGAAACAGGGACGTTCAAGTTAGCAATATTCTCTATTAATAACCATTTGCATTTTCAACCTCATGTCATAATTTTTAGGTATTGAAAGTTGCAGGTAAGTAGAGTGCCTTTTCCACCTCCCCAAAGCAGCTCAGTGGTCTGCACACACCTCCGCACCTTTAACAGGGAGAAGTGTTTTCAGAGAAGCCCCCTGATCCTCACCAGGAAAGAGGGCTCACCTTGCACCTTGCTGGGCTCATTAGCCGTCCTATTTCTGAGATCTAAGCACGAGGACATACATCTTTACAACTCTGACTTAGGCTTTTTAAGTGCCGCCTAGCAATTCACAGCGTGAATACAGCACAGTTTACTTTCTCTGTGAAGATGTTCAAACTCTGCGTCAGCTTTGGATGGGGCAAGGGACCTACTAGCACGGAAAGCAATGCTAGCTTTTTCTGAAACTCATTTCAACCCAGAGACTATTTCTTGAAGTCTTTGGGGGCAGAGGTGGTGCAAAGCTGGAGGAGCAGATGAGGGCAATAGTTAGGGTGGGTGCTATCCTCCATCTGGTTGTGCCAACCACGCTGACCAACTGATTGCCTTTGTGTTCTTTCTCTTCCCCATCCCCTTGAACTTCCCAGCTTCCCACCAGTGCCCTTCTTCACTCAGGGCGATTCTGTACGTGCAGTCTCTACTCACCCACTCCGCGTCCTTCCTCCAGCCCTTCCACTCACTTCAGGATGATGCTTCCATTCGAGGAGCTGGGGCAGACCACACTCCGCAGGTCAAGAGCAGTGGGGACGGAAGACACCTGCCTAACAGGACGCGGCTGCGGGAGCAGCCAGGCAAGGCTGCGTGCTGGGCTCCAGGCACCTGCGGCTGCCAAGGGGACCCAGCGCAGCCGCGGAGCTCCCCAGCAAGGGGCGGGTCCCGGGAGAAGAGAAAATGCCAAGCAGCCCGCCAGGGGCGTCCACAGACGGCGCCCTCCCCTGGAGCGGACTGCCAGTCGCCTGGACCAGCGCCAGTCGCCTGGGGACTGTGCGTCGTCTGCAGGGGGCCGGACGAGCGCCCCGGGAGGGAGAGTTGGAAAGCAGGAGGGCGTGGCTGGAGTCCGGGTTGCTGGCTCCGTAGCTGCCGCTTGCTGAGCACTCCTCTACTACTCAGACCCGGGCAGGGACTCTCCCTAACGTGGTCCGTGAACAGCACTCCCGTCTCCCCATCCTCCTCCGGGCAGCACTATGGGGTGGTGGGTGTGAGGGTGACAAGTACTAGATTTGGATTGTCCATGAATTGCCCCATTTTATTGCTGCGGTAATTAAGGCACAAGACAGAGAATGATTGTCCACTGTAGCAGAACTGTCGGTGGGCAAACTCTCCTGTCCCCCAACTTTTCCTCCATTTCTGCACACTCACCTGCCGGTGGAAGTAAGAATGGGGACTCCCAAAAGTTGAGAGGTAGGTGATCAAGAGAGAGCCATCAGGTCGTCTTCCATGGCAGTTCCTTCTACTTCCCTTGGCAGTCATAATCACAGTGGAAGTAACTTACCATTTCCCTCCACGACCAGGGTCACACTATTCCTTCCTGATACAGTAGCTGCTTCAGAAATGACCGATGTGACAGCGGGACAGCTGCCGGGCAGGGACAAATGAACAGTGGGGGGATCTAGTTTGGGAGTGGCTACAAATTCTAGCTATCTTCAGGTATTCCTGTCATATAGGATATGACAGATAAATGCTGTCGAATGGTCAGATCCGTAAAGAGAAACTGGAAAAAAAAAACACATATTGGGATTAAAACTTCCGCTATGTATGTCCAACTCCACGTTAAATATTTAATTTGTAGCGACCAATGCCTGTCCAAAAAGGTATTTCATAAGAAGAGAGAAACACAAAGATGTAGAAACAAAAGTAGCAGAGAATCAAGCTCTCCCCACCCCGATCCCTCCCTTGTGCACCCCAGTTTGGCTGCAAAGTCCTCCAAAGGCTTTAAGGGGTTTCCTTTTGGATACCCAAGGCAAAAGGAAAACGCGGGTAAGACAAAGGCGCCTCTAAGTTTTAAAAGACTCGGGAAGAACAATTCATGTTTACCTGAGAAAGGCTAAGGAAGTGGTTCAAGAGCTGCAAGTTTCATCCGGAAATATTCCGTTCTGTACTTCAACAATTTCAGACACCACAGACCACCCTGAGAAGCCCGGTGTGGTTGCGTTTTCACTCTCGTGGAAACACAGCTAGATAGATCCATGAGTAGAATTCTGCAGACATTTCAGTCACAGACACAGTCTGTTTTACTAAGTTTTTAAAATCAGTTTTAACCATGTTTCTAAAACTGATTATCAAGGAATTGGACAAGCAATAAAAATTTACCTTGCCTTCCTAATCTTCCAAGACATAATGAGTTCTGTTTTATCATTCAAGAAGTTAATACAGCAAGAAAGTGGACTGAGACAAGATCAAAATCCCCAGAAACCTCTCTGGTTGAATTGGAGAGATGTAGAATCAGGCAGCCTTCCAGCCAAAAGACCAGACTGCCATCCCTGTGGTACTTACTGGCTGTTTCACTTAAAGCCCCCAAGCTTCAGTGTTTCAGTATCAGTAATGACATCTCTAGTCAGGGGAGGACTGAATAAAGTGCCTATTTTACCCTGGCCAGCAGAGCACACACTCAGATTAGCAGCTGCTAAACTTTCCATCTCAGGGCTAGGGAGGCTGCTCGGTGGTTGAGAGCACTCTTGTCTCTTGCAGATGACCCAGATTTAATTCCCAGCACCCACATGGTAGCTCGGAACCATCTGTTCCTGTAGTCTCTGGGGATCTGATGCCCTCTTCTGACTTCCATGGATACCAAGCATGCACGTGAATACACATAAATACATGCAGGAGGAAAACCACATAAATAAAAATTTAAAAATCTAATAAAAATGGTAAAAGATTACCGTTTCAATTAACAAGCTAGTAGGCCATCCCCATCCTTCTCAGCCCTGCCATCCCCCTACAGCGTCAGTCACTTTTGCTTAAAACAAAGCTACAATCCAGTCAAGTACACCTGCCCCTTATAAGCTTGGCGTACAAGAAGTTTTATTTTTTAAAAGGTATATTGTTCATGACACATGAGTCATTAAATGAAGATGTTAATGCAAGGCACGGGATACCTTCATCTAAGTTACTGCTCAGGGAGGCCCTAGAAGTCTCCAAAACAACCCACGTTCTTGTCATTGCCCTTGGTTATTCACCTAGCTCCTTGATAAGAGCCTATCATCGAAGACATAGAGAAATCAATCTCAAACTGCCAGGCAAGAGTTTCTTCCCTGTTGGCTAGCTTTTATCATGCTGGTAAATGCTATGCAGGTTGCTGGGGATGGAAGACATCAGTGATCTTACCCAGTATAAGACTACACGCTGCAATATCCACCTGCCCTGCCATGCAATAGTGGTGCAAGTGTTAAAGGATAATGATTTTCTGATTGGATCTGAGGTCTGCTCCACAGAGGGAATTCCATAGCTGCTCCTGCAATCCTTGTCAAAAGTCCATGGTGTAGGAGAACTTGCTATTGTTACTTTGCTCAGTAGTCATGTTGTGAAATTGCTTTCAAATATTCATGCTTATACGAATAGGCTGGGACTTCTCTCAGCCTTGGTCTGAGAAGCATTTTTTGTTTTGTTTTGTTGTGTTTTGTTTTGTTTTGCAGTAAATAGCAGTCAATGTCTAATGCATAACTATCCACGCTTCTGAGGACGGGAGACCGGAAGCACTAAATGGAACATCTCAGTGCTCTCCCCATGCTGCCAAGACTCGGCGATCATAAAGGAAGAGGAAGTACAAAGACTGGAAGAGCTGGAAGATGGGAAGGAGAGCTGTGAAATGCTTTCTTCTGTGCGTGACATGGTATTGAACTCATGAATTCACAGCAACTGTGGTTCCCTGCACAAGGCCTACGCAACACCAAACCAGCCTCCAGACCAGAATTAATGGGATAGCCGATCTCTAGGCCTCACCCCATGCCGAGGATGAGGGTAGTTGCAGGAAGAAGGAGAACTGTTCTTCTTGAGAGTATGAATGGTAGGGTTCTCGTGCTCAGCAGATGGCCCACACCTTTATACATATGATCAGCACTAACTGGACTTAGTTGACTATCAGTTTGGAAGAGGTGTGCTGGGGAGGGGGGAGTGATATGATCATATTTCATTGTAAACATGTATGGAAGTTTCAAAGATAACAAATAATTTAAGACCGTATCCTGTCTATCAGGAACAGAGTTGTTACAACAATATAATTGCATTTTATTCTCTTTTTTATTTAGTTGTTCATATTATCTACCGTTCGTACTTCTTGCCTGTTTGCTGCACACATCTCTGTGAGGAAAGGGCAGCCTGCCATAGCCCGGGTACTTGCCTAGCTGGGTTATATGCATATGTCGATCTCTGGAGCCCCCCAGTGGAGAGCAGAATGAAGTAGCCAGGGAAGCCTTGAGGCACAGACAGCCAAAGGAAGTCGTGGTTTATACATGTTTTAACAGCTTGGACTTAAACCATGTACCTCTTGTCTTGAAATAGTCTGGCACCACTGCAGGTAAAACAAAATGGCATTCTTTGCCCGTCTTAGTTACTGTTCTATTGCTGTGAAGAGGCACCATGACCAAGGCAAGTCTTATAAAAGAAAGCATTTAATTGGAGACTTGCTTATAGTTTCAGATTAGCCTGTTATGATCATGGTGGGGAGCACAGCAGCACACATGATGTGGTGGGGAAGTAGCTGAGAGCTACATCAGTCTGCAGACACATGGGGAGAGAGAGAGAGAGAGAGAGAGAGAGAGAGAGAGAGAGAGAGAGAAGACTGGGCTTGGTGTGGACTTTTAAAACCTCCAAGCCCACTCCCAGTGACACTGCCTCCAACAAGGCCACACCTCCTAATCTTTCCCAAACAGGTTACCAGCTAGGGATAATGCATGCAGATATGTGAGTCTCTGGGGGCCAATCTCATTCAAATCACTCCATTACCCTAGGAGTCATTGTCATAAACCACGTGCCCCTGCCACTCTGTTCAACTAACTCGAGTCAGGCCAAATCGCCTCTCTGCAGGCTGTTCTGAGTCTGGCTTTCCCACAGGACTTGGGATAGTTCTTTATAGACATGCTTCTGGATTTCTTTCCACTTAGCTGTCACATCGGGTTCTCAGCTCACATTTTTTTCCGCCTGGAGATGCTATCCTTCAACTCCTTCTTTACAGTTCTCTCTTGGTCCTGCCTTCATTTTCCACCACCCTCCCGGATTTCTCTGGCCATTGCTCACCAGGAGCTGCTGTAACGATGATTTTGTTTCGTGACTACTTTGCTTCATTCCCTGATTGGGTGTAATGGAGTGGGGGCAAGAACAACCCCTGCCTTGCCTGTCTCTCCTGTGTATGCAGCATTGAATCTGGCAGTTAGCCTACAGGAGATGTAGCGTAAAATACGTGTTTGTCCTGGAAGGAAAGACAATAAAGCCATACTGTACCTCAAAGCAGTAACCACAGGAAGGAAACAGCCCTCTATAGGGAAAGGTATGAAGGAAGCAAAGACTAGCAAACACTGCAGCTCACCTGGAGGGTTTTGTGGTTTAGGTAGAAGTTGCCTCCAAGTCTGGAGAATGGAGACAAGGGTGTAATATTGGGGAAAAAATAATAAAAAAATTTAGTGCGATTGGAGGCACAGCGTGTGGTGTGCAAGAGGGATGAGAGGAACACCTTGAGGAAAGAAAGATGGTGTGAAAACACTGAATTTTTAAACAGATATCACTAGAGGCTTCTAGATGTGTTAGCAGAAACTGGCAATTCAGTGTCAGGGAGG